AAATAAAAAAAAAATCTAAACCGCCACCCAATCCTCACGCATGATCGAGCCAGCCTCGCAAAAAAACAAAAGTTCAACTTTGCGCGACATCCCCGAGAAATGGAGTGCGTTCTCGCATTCCGTTGCGCGAAGGCCGACCAGCTATAGCTAGCTCCGCGGTTTTACATAATCCGCGCGGAAAAATGACACCGGCCCAGAAAGCGATCCGCGCACAAGGTGCCTGTCAACGTTGCTGGACGTTTTTCCAGTAGTAGTAGCGCACTTGCTTGCCTGCGCGCTCGACTTTGCTCGCTTTTGCGATTGGATTTCGCGCGGTCCGTTACACGCATACACGCAGGACAGCATATACGTCTGCAACGAAACGGCGAACGGTATCGGCCCCGCGAAATGTCAAGGAGGTGAGGTTCGTTTCTTTTCCTCTTGGCGTGTGATCCGTGACTTTTCGTCCTGTGCGTGTAGTTTTGTGCGGTCTCAGTGTATGCGCCAAGAGTTGCAAAACTTGTCGCCACTTGAAACTCGAGAGCTACATGCACATGCAGATATCTATTCAGGCCGTTCGTCAATTTGTATACTTAATCACAACTACTCTTATACATCGCGTACTCAAGAATTTACGAGCGGTTCGTCCGGAAATACAGGCGCCTCGATCGTCCAAAGAATACGTCACACCAGGCAAATGTTTGTCTGTGAAAAAATAACCACAGCCAAAAATTCCAAGCGTTAATTAAAAGTCAATTACTCGCTTTGTTAGCGAATTCGATTTGCCCTGGCCTGTCAAAGGGAAAGACAGAACAAGCACAGAAGAAATTAGCGAACGCGCATAACGAGACGTATTAGTTATTGACGTGGCCTGGGCAAGCCAGCGGAGGGCATTTCTATAGAGCCACCTATTTACCGATTGAGTGTCCTCTGTACGTTATAACTCAAATACATCCGCCTAGGCTATAAACGCTCCTAAGTCTCCGAAAATGGCCGCTCTGAAATCCCAGCAGGAGCACCAGCAGCAACAGCCACCGCAGGAGCAACGTCGGCTGCAGCGCAGTAGTATCTCCTCGGCCATTTGTCTCACGCACGAGAGGTTTTCCCTTAATTCCAAGAGGGAGCCTCGGGCACACGCTCACGCGCGCAGCTCGCCCGGTGCATTAGCCTCTCGCTTGCTCTTGAGTAGCGTGCACACAGCCGGTGCAACCAACATGTGCGTGGGTGGCGAAGGGCTGCGCCTATGCTTCTGCTGCTGCCGCTACTCGAGGGGAGAGGCGGCATACGCGCGCGTGCGCGCGCACACGCACACACTGCAATATACGTGCGAGGCGCATGTACGCGCTGCGCTACAAGGGACTGGTGCATAACGTTTTTGGCAGTTATAAACAAGCGCCTGCGATCGTTGTTATCCTTCGATACCCGCGCCCTGATACGTATCAACTTGGCTCGCACGGGGCATGACGCTAATTGTGAGGAGAGTCGTTAAATGCACGTTCGTTAGCGAGATGAAATTAATTCAGTAATTAGGCGTTTAGCGCTGCGTTAGTACCTTGTAAAATTGATACTCGATTGCACGAATCTTTTTACACGCGTACATTACATCTCTATTACTTTTTACGTCTTAGCTATAAATCTAATTGTAATTGCGATTCATGTATTAACCGTGAACGATCATACGACTTTGATTTATTATGGCAGTTTAATGCGTTCGATGTTTAAAAATCACTTTGTCGAGTTGACGCGTTCTAATGAGCAAAATGTAATCCAGTTAGGTTGCCATTAATTAGATGTTAATGTTAACAAGGATGCCAATTGATTCAGTGCGCAACGAATTATATTGCAGTTGAATGGATTGATCGCCAGCCGTTGTTGTGAAAAACAAGTAATTGAAAAAAAGGGTTCGAATTCAAAAGTCAAAGAATGAAGGAAGAAAAGAAAGGAAAAAAGAAGAAGAAGAAGATAAACGCATGGGAGTATGGGAATGCGAAAAAAACTGGCGTACAGGCGCGCTGCGGAAAAGAAAGGCTGGCAGTATCAAAAGCAGATCGAAAAGGGCTATACAAAAAAAAGAGAAGGAAGGCTCGATTACTCTGACTTACGATCGGAGCGCGTGTAGGAGGGCATATGGTGGGCGCCGACATCGTATATACAGCGCAGGTGAGCGACAGAGAAAAAGATCTCTGGTTCGTCGTATAAAAAGGGCTCCGAAACGCTAACGATCCCTTTGATCGTGCTGTTCAGTTGCCGTATGCAGATGTGCCAAACGAAGCAGTTTTTCCGCGCGTCTCGCCGAAAGAAACGAGCTTTTCATTCTCATTGTTATTAGGGACATCAGCCTCGAGGCTATGTTATGACTTCCTGGCTCAATTTTTCTTTTTTTTTCTTCGTTTCAAGTACCGTCGCATAAATCAGACACAAAAAAAGAAGAAGCGTTCCGAAAACTCTTCTCTCTCTCGGGCGCTGATAAAAATTTTGATTAATGCGCCGAGACGCTATGCGGGCAGGCCTTCGTGAGTTAAGACGTCTCCAGCTCGATACTTTATACGCTTTTTTGTTTTTTCTCTTGATGATGGGGAGAACATCGCTGTTGAAGCACTTGGTTACATGTGTAATCCGTTATTAATTGTTATCGCATTCGACTTTTGCTCGCCTTGGTTAATTTATTTAAGTACGTTACGGCGATGACTTCTAATATTACTAGGACTTGTGTGACAGAACATTAGAAACATTTATTATTCTTGTATAAAAATAGTTGAATTTAATTTTATATAGAACGAAATATTTTCGGAATGACAATTTTGCTCCAAGATCGCACTTCGTTCAAATGAACTGTAATCAATTATTCAAGGATAAAATATTCACAAAGCACGTACCTGGAATATCTCGTAATTAAAATCAAATATGAGAAAGACCGACCATGAAAAACGTTTTGTCACGATTACGTGAAAGGGCGCGTGACAGAGACGAAATCATTTCAATGACGAAAGTTCACCAAAAAAATCGCTCGCAGAATTTCCGGTTAAGTCTCGAGGTCGTTCAGACTTGAGCCTTTGAAAGTATATACGGGAAACCATCGAAAATACCGAAGCGCGTTTGCCGAGGAGAGCCACTCGAGTCGGACGACGAGAGTCGTTAAAAATTCCTCCTTCTTCTTCAGGTTAATCGCTGGAAGGCCGGCGTCCACTCGCTTGCGTTCCCTCGTAGTCTTAATGATCAATCGACTGCTTGGGCTATCGCTCGTGGAACTTTGCACCCTGAACATTTTCTGGAATTATCTTTTCTCGATGAATTGTCACCAAGATTTCAGCTTCATTATTATAATTGTGTTTGCTATGAAAAATAGTAATAAATTATAAATGTTGTAATTCGAATTGATTCAAATTCAGATGAATACCAAAACACGTGGTATTTCAACCGAAGGATCATGAATGAATCGTTAATATAAAAATAAGCGAACGAGAGCGCAAATAAGAAAACACTCCATGAACAAATGTTGAATCAAAGCAAATTATTCAAAATCCGTTAGTAGCAAAAACAGCAGAGTATACCTTGACACACTGCGCGAAAAAAAGTGACCGAAGAATCTGTTTGCAGATCTAACAGCTCGTAACTGCAAAAGAGACTGAGAGCAAAAAAAAAATGGATCGGAGAAAATCGCACAGGAACAGGCTTTCTCTCTCACGGGAATTAAGAGAGTCAAGGGATACCCAGAGAGCATACGCAACCCTTTTCTGCATGCCCCCTTCCGCACTCACACAGAAAGAGAATCGTTTTCTCCCGTGGGATCGGCTGCTCGAGAGAGCAAGAAGAAAAAAAAAACGACGAAGAAGATGAAAGGGGTGACATTCGACTTTTCTTCGGCGAAACTCGAGAACCCTTTCCATGACAATTTCAATTCTTTTTTGTTCCGCTCTCGAGAGCGCGCGCGAGCTAAGATTCTTAAAACTTCGCCGAAGCTCAGATTTTTCGATTTTAATTACAGTTTTAACATATTTTAATAAAATCCGCGAGCTGCGGATCTGCTTGCTCTCTTTTCTTTTACCGACTTTAAGCGTCGAAATTTCACGGATGGATTTCGAGAGATTTTCTCGGACGATGATAATTCACTTTTGAATGTTTTCTTTACTTGAGAGACCTTCGCGACGAGGATTTCTCGTTAATATCCAAAGTAGTGCAGCGTTATAATTTTCATTTTTTACCTATCTTGGTCTGACATTCTGCAATTAATTAACTTAAATTAAAATATCCAATCCTGTCCTTAAACATCTTTGAGGGTTTTCACTATCTGTGGGTCAGCGCCACCACTAAAAAGAAAAGAGAAAAAGAGAAGAAAAAAACACAGTATTTACCTTCTCTCCAGACTCGGTTCGGGTAAACTTCCACTACGGAGTATACACACAGCAGTAGCTCCAGGCTAACCCTTTCCATACGCCCCCACACTCCATGGATTAATCCCGGGCGCGCGCCACAAACACCTGTTCGCGAAACGGCTCCTCTAGTCGTCTCCTTTTTCCTCTTTCATTTTATTTTTGCCCGCGCCTCCTTTTGCTTCCTTTCATCGCTTCTACCCGAGTAAAGCGTAAGGATCAGTCTCGCGGGATCTACGAGAGGCGCCGGTGGTAGTTCCCCACGCGATGTATCTTTTCTCTCGTGAATATTAGGCATGGGCGCATTTAATGTTATGGAGCAGTGCTTCATTTGGTACGACCAATAAAGAACAAGATTTGTATATATATATATTAATAGCGTATAATGAGTATTGTATGGAAAGCTTTTTTATAAGTGTGCTCGCATGACAGTGCCGAATCATAATTGTCCGCGAGGTGGAAGTAACATTGCTGCGTACAAAGTAATCTCAGCACTGTTAGCTCGACCTCCAAGAAATCATTCTGCGATGGCTGTTGAGTGTAAGCCCCATAAGCATTGCATTTCACTCCCTAAATGTGTGTAGTTAATAATAAAATCGCCATCGCAGTCGTGCTCGTGAAAGAGCACAGCATACCAACTAACCCCGGCAGTTCTTCTCGCAGATATTCATGCACAAGAACGCGATGCAGATGCACGCGCGGGAGCTGAGCGTGGCGCAGAACGCGCTGAACGCGGCGGCGGCGGCCGGTCGTGGACCGGGAACCGGAGGCGTCGGTGGCGTCGGGGGTGGTCTTGGCAGCTTAGGTGGTGGCCTCGGCGTTGGAGTTGGCCCTGGTGGCATGATCACCGGCAACGAGGTTAAGCCACATCAATGTCAGCAGTGCCTCAAGTCATTCTCGAGCAATCATCAGCTCGTGCAACACATCAGGGTCCACACGGGTGAAAAACCCTACAAGTGCAGCTACTGCGATCGCAGGTTCAAGCAGCTCAGCCACGTGCAGCAACACACGAGGTTACATACCGGTGAGTACATCTATAAACAGAACTCTCACGCTTATTTTTCATTGTTTAACGACGCGGAAAGTAATGACGTTTGCATTGCATCGAGTTCCCGTCGTCATTGTACAATTTAGCACCTATACCTTGATATCGTTAACTACGAGCACAGCCCCGACTGGCATCTTACAATTAAGCCATGTTGAAAAAACTTTACCCTCCGTCATAATGAAAAAATTAGCATAAAGGGAAATTTGTAACGACGTCAAAAACTTAACCACACTGCCTTTCGGGCCATAAACCACACACACATAAGAAAAGCGTCGTCGTCGACGCGATAAAGGGCGACACCCGCTTGCGTGCGCTGATAAGTTGATAACGCGTTTGTGTTGTTGTATATATACAGCGATGTATCTCGTTATTTAGCTTAAGCCGCCGGCGGGCGTCTACCCCGAGATAAAGCCTTTTTTTCCTTCCTCTTCGCTCTTTTTCGGAAGCGGATTTAAAGCAGAGAAAGAATTTCATTAAGGGATGAGCGCGAGCGTAGTCACTTGGAAGGTATTAGGGACTTCCTGTAATTCACAATTTCTTTTTCTTGGATGGAGGTGTGCGAGATAACGTGCGGAATTTCGAATACAAATTTTGACTTGTTGACGGCTACGTTTTAAGTTTACAGATGCTTAGTCATTGCGTGATCATATCAAGCACAACATTATCGCGCGGTTTTCTAAAATTATCGATCAAGTGAATCAGGGACCGCACATCTCAATGTAAATATATAAATATGCTCAGTGTCAATCAAATAATCAGCGCACAGCTCGACACCATAAAGCTCAAAATCTTCAAAAGGAAATATATGCGAGGATGTATACGTATACCCGGAAGGCAGTAAACGCACGCGCTCTCGAACCTTTATATAGAAAATCTCATTCTAACTGGCGCGAGCGCGAAAGAAATTCACTTTGGCCGAGAATAAATAAAAAGGGTAGCAGCAGCTCGCGGCGCGGGAATTTCGAGTATTTAATCTGGCGAGTTACCAAGATCTTTTCGGATCAAGCGAGCGCGGCCTTTTTTCCTTTTCCCACTCCCTCTCCCCCCAAGAGCGGACCGTAAAAACAACTTTACTTAGCGACGACCCTCTTTAATAGTTGGCTCGCGCGCTGTGTACTTCTTTAATCATTTGCATTAAACTTATATATTTGCTTCTTTGGTGACTTTTTGGCTCTATGCCTTGATTTTTTGGAAGAGAATTTGGAATTATTTCTTATCTGTTTTTTGCCCTACTTTCTTCCTCGATATTTTCACATACTCATAGTTTTTTACAATTGTCGATCTTATAACGAAGCCAAACTAACAACTCTTTCTCACGGCGTTCTCGGATACTCATTAACGCAAATCATTTCTTTTTAACCCTTCTATTTTCCTAATCCACACAGGCATTACCCCATGCTCCTCCACCCACCCTCGAACCAGAGACGAGAGAACTCAGCCAAGTATCATCAAACGCATCGAAGCAATTTTAATGCTTTTTTAATAATCCCTCTTTTTAAGTTTCACTTCGCATGTGCGCGCTGGCAACGTACAGCACAGGCGGCCAAACGAATGCAAAGAAAAGGGTTAACCCTCGCGCGCGCATTGATCTCAGCCGAATGACTACCCTTTGCATTAATAACCCGCCCCCGGACGAGAATTCCCCAATTTTTTTTGTTCTTGTCCTCGCTCTTGGTGATTAGGACTGAATTATTATAGGTTGTAAACGTGCGTGTACTGTTTGTATTTGTCGGATTGAAAAAAAAGTGATTCTCATACGGAGTGTATATTTTTTGTACGTAATGGTTAATCCTATATGGTGCTATATGCTGTCGGATGAATAGAATGTAGAATTAGTATTAAATATTGTGGAACATTGTCAAGCGACAATGGTGAATATTAATTGCATGTTGAAAGGCATTTCTTTCGATAAATCTTTCACAAAAAATCTTGTGTGCACCTTCGCGTAAACCTTCGTGCAAACGAAATTTTGAAATCAATTATAAAGTTTTGCATGAAAGTAATAAAAAAATTAACCACCGATCGTCGAAGCGCTGGTTAGTGTAGAATAAGGCAGGTCTAAATAGAATCGAGCGATCATCTTCAGGCCTATGCGGTCGAGGCCCACATAGGCCTTCGAAGCACACTAATAGAGGCTTGCATCCCAACCAAGAGACACACACATACACAGACGTAGTGGCTGCCACGCGGGAACCGCGAAATCAATTTCGCAGGGCATAGGCAGGCGATTCCGAGCGATTAGGACCGACAATTATAGAGCCGCCAGCCGCTTTACTTCGCGTACTAGCTAGCTCCCGTGTAGCAGCGAAGGCTGTGTCACCTCGATGAATATTATGTCGCACGCACCGCTGCTTCGCGCGTCCGCTCGATAGAAACGATGTTTCATTATGCCGTATTTATTGTATTCGCGAGATTGGCTTTGCAATTTTTGGGCACGTGTGCTGATTATCGTTTTACTCGAGTGCGTCAGGTTGTCGAAAAATGAATTATCACCGATACCTTGTGTGTCTTTACTCGTAGAATAGATGAAGCTGTGCATATACTTCTTTTCGCTTCTAACGACAATAGTAACAGTAGCCCGTCGATTCTTTCCTCGCAGCTAATGATCCCCGTAAAAAGGAACAATATTTGAATAGTTTTCACACGAACAAAATTGAAATTACACGTCATTTGCGTCAGCGGGCTCGCGGTGAAAAAGCAGCAGCCGTATTCGAAAATGCGCATCGCTCTTAACATTATTATTACGTAAATGCGTTGGGTATTAATAATTGTGCAGGGCTGCGCAGCGAGTGCAGACGTGCCTATGTATTCGTATTTATGCACTCGCGACGCGAGCGACAGATATTTAAATGATATATAGCCTCGCATCGCCTTATAATTTAATCAAAAGCTAATGGCACCGATTAATAATGCTTTATGGTGTGTTACTTCCCACCGAATATTTTTAATCTTTTGATCGCGACGGTCTTTCAAGCTGAATGGGAATCGAATGGTCGCAAGTGTAGCAACCGCGAAACAAGCAAGGCAAAAGAAAAAGGGTAACAGTCGGTAAACCGCAAAACGACTAATAATCATGATCGAGTCGTCGTTGTCGTAGCCGCAATGAAATCGCGATTTGGCGCCCTGGAATCGCGCAAAATTGCACTCGCGCGATTTACTGGCGTATCCCGCGTGAGCAAGTGCGTATTATATGCGCGCTGGATGCGCGCGACGTGCGGCATGTAGCTCGTTTATTACGAGATGAGAGAGGCGACGCCACGGCCGCCATGCGTGCTATATGGTAATTAAATGCGAAATACGATGATTTTTCTGCTTTACGGAGATTCTCAAGTTTTGCCTTATATATGGGATGTGCCGTGTGCATACATGGCAATGACAGGCGCGAGTATGTCATCGCCAACAAAACTACAGATTGATCCGACAATAGTAAGTAGCTTAATGTCGTTGCGCACAACTATAAGCTAACGTTAACGTGCTCTATTGCCTATTACCAAGTCTAAACGTCTAAATGCCGTGAACACGTCTATAGACGCTTGTACAGATTTTAAGTATCGTTCAAGCCTCTCCCTTCTTGCCGCCAATCGAATAACACTGCACTTCTGTCGTTAAATTACCTCTCAAATAATCTCTCGCATGCACTAAATAAAGAATACACGCGTAAACAAAGAAATATGATTTTCAACCATTAATAATTCTCGCGAACTGGACGCTCGCAAATTCGCGATCAAAGCCTTTTGAATATTAATGGTGGAAAGCAATTAAGAGCAAACAAATATATAATGCATGTGCGAATAATGCATAATTCCACGTAGGCCGGTATAACGTTTGGCGAATAATCCGGGAGCACCAATAAAGACAGAGCACACTCGGGAGACCGCACACGAACATTCTCACACACACACACACACACACACACACACACACATATAGCGAAAAGCTGTAGCAGTACCAATGCATTCCCCAGCATTGGCGGCAGTAGCCAGTTTCCGTCCATTATAATGTTTATACCCAGGCGCATATATATAATTCATTAACCGAAATTCGCTCGTCCGGGTTATCGGATGTTCTCTCGCTCACACCCAACTTATACGCAAGCACGCACACGGACGTGCGAGTGTGCGACATCGATAGCCGCTCGATATACACGGCTAGACAAATACAGCAGAGGCAACCCTTCCTCTCTTATTCCCAGCCAATCCCGGTGTCGCCCGTTCGCCCCACTATCTCGTGAAAACCGAGAGGGGAGTGAGAAAGAGAAAAAGCGCGGGAGTCTTTTGAAAGCACGGTGGTGGCGCTGTTGACGCTGCATAGCTGCCATTCATTCAATAACAAAACTCACGCCTAAACGTACACACACTTGGACGCGTTCTCACGTTATATGCAAGAGAGAAAATGAGACTGAGGAGAGAGAGAGAGAGAGAGAGAGAGAGAGAGAGAGATATTATCCCCGGGATATGGCCGACGAAATTGAATTTTCAGGGCGCAGCAAATATGTCCATATGAAATCGAATCAAAAATTCAAAATTCAAATTTCCCGCCAATATTGCGAGGGAGGAGGTGTCTCGGGCGCATATAGAGGGTGCGACGTATGTCGTTGATTGAGATACGTGTGTTTGTGACTGCAGTATTGCAGCACAGGGGGGAGAGAGAGTGTTGATTGTGTTCGGAGAAGGTGACGTGAAGAGGTTGTGGGTGAGGTTAGGCTTGTTGATGATGATGATGATGACGGACGCGAGGCAATCATCGCTTCGGCCAATGACGTTTAACGCGCTCGGATGCGCTCTGTAATTGCGTGTGTGACAGCCGCTCGAGAGCGAGAAGGAGAGGGGTTGGGGGAGAGGGAAATGGTGCAAAAATTTCATTAAGAGCCTTAATTGCTTTCGGAAATCATCATGATGATGACGATAATGACGATGGCCAAACGTGATTTTGCTTGCAGGTTCGCGGCGAATATTTATATCCAACGTCTTTTTCGT